GCCCTCCCCCCCCTCCCCACCCCGTAGCTGTACGTCGCCGTCTCCCCGCTGCCCACGGTGGCTGCCCTCTCCTCCAGGGCTGCTTGGCTCGCCTGCCCCGGCCAAGGGAGGTGCACAAGGGAGTCTTGCACATCATTGGTCTGAGAAGGTCTCCATGCCCTTAAAGAGAAGGTGGATTTTCTGCTGAGCCACCCGAGAAGCCCTTTTATACCTCCTTACTCAGCCAGCTGCCTACGGCTCGCCAGTCAGTCCTGTCCATCCACGGGGGCTCTCTGTCTTTCTCCTCAGCGCTTGGGTGAGCCGTTTTGCATGTCTCTTACTGACCCAGCTTGCTGTTAGGGGGCGAAGGGGAAGCAGATTCACTCACGTGAGTTTTGGGGAGATAAATGCTAAGAGGGGTGGCCTGCCGGGGAGAACTGGGGTGCTGATAGGACTGCCTCCATCCTTTGCCTGTTGGAGAGGGCCCACGCAACCAGAAAGTCTCCTTGTCTTTTCCAGTTACCTTCTTTCTCTTTGGTTTCATGCCTTCCCCTCACTTGACTGGCTTTGCTTTCCGGCTTGAGCGGAAGGGCGAGTGGAGCCGCAGGCTCTGTAACGCTGACCTCCCCAAGGCCGTGGGAGGCGGGATCCCATCCTTTGCTGGTGTAACTCAGCAATGCTCCCCCACTTACAGCTCTTGCTCCAGTTCCTGACCCGGTCTGTGCAGCGCCTTCCTCCCCAAAACTGTCCTCCACGTTTCGAAGCCTGTAAGACAGGGGTAGACGTTCAGATTTACTGCAACCCACTGAACAGGTGATGTAAAGCCCCTATCACAGGCGGATAGCTGCGATCTGGGATTCTCTCCTTGCTTCCTTTGTACTTGCAGCTTAGATGTCATTGAAGTGGGTGCATGTGTGCGTGCGGGAGGAACGCAAGTAAAAATAGCTTGCGTTCCTCCGAGGCCCTGTCCCTCAGCTGTAGCTGAGCCACCTGTGGTGGCTTTTGCTTTGCATTGCCCCAACCTCCCTGAGTCATGGGGCCTGGCACCGGGGAAAGGCTGCAGTCTGAGGAGACAGCTGCAGCTCCTTGTGCAGCTCCCTGACCATTTTTAGAAGCACTTTCCACCCCAGTAATGTGATGGGCCTGCACATTTTCCAGGATAAAGTTTCCTCAGGGAGCTCGTCCCTGCAATCTGTACGTCCTCCCTTGGGCTTGGGCCCCATTAACACTTTATCTCCCAAATGCGGCCCCCCAGGTCTGCAGAGCGCTGTGTTTTGGGCTGCGAGAGACTAGCCGAACTGGGGATGGGTTGGCACTCTGGGGTCCTTCTGTTAGTGGATACAAGTAGGAAATACTGCTCTGCTAGAAAAAAAAAATATGTTATGTGTTGTGGGGAAACAGTTTATAGCAAAATATAGAAGATTCAAAGGTGCTTTCCTCTCTCTTCCTTAATATGCTGTGTCGGGCCTGTATAATTTCCACGTGAAGGAGATGCAAGAACTTGTCGGGGGCTGTGGCTTTATCAAAGCAACAAAAAATTTTCAAACCTATTCTGTGTTATTTGTGCTGTGGCTGTTGCACTAGGCTCCTCCGCACCACGCA